AAAACCTACTAAGAATGTGTCAAAAAGCTGTGATTGTACTGGAATCAGTCACTCCATCACTGCAGCCAGGAAGGAATGAAAAAATGGCAAGTTTTGGTGAAGATGCTGTTTGAGCTCTTGATCATGGGCACCTTGGCTTACCTATTCTGATTCCAATTGATGCTCCAGATAAACATGGGAAAGAAAATTATAGGCAAATGAAGCCTTTTTTATTAACTTGTTCATTTCAACCAATAAGATATTCTATTATTTTGATGATTTGTATTTCCAGCTTAGGTAGCAGAAGTGGAAAACCTCATTCATCTTCCCAAACAACACCTGAATTTCTGCACTGAGCTTAGTTGTTCCTGGGAGGGAGGAGTGAAAGGTAGGAGCTCACTTGCACTTGTGGAGAATATGCTGATTTTTCAGTCACAGTGAAACACTCTATTTGGATTTTGATAGCTACTTTTGTTAAATTATTTATACATTGCAGTATAATATATCAGAGATAAAATAGCCATAATGCTTGCCACGAGATCTGATAAATTGATTGTGCCAACTTGGAGACTAAAGAATTAATTTTCTTATTTCAAATGTCTTAAAAATACCAGTTGCCAGTATAAGATAATTTTTCCCTTCAATTGACGGTAGTAACATCTTTGAACTGTCAAGCAACTGTCTCTGAGTGACAGCTGAACTGTGTGCATTTCAAGATCAAAAAATAATTTATGAGAGAGGTTTACAAGGTGCTAAAAATTACAATGGAAGAGAGACAAATGTAAAAGCATAAAATACTCAAATATTTTGATTTTTTTTTTGATCAGTCACAGTTCTTACTGTCCATTTTATTTAGTAACATCATGACACTTTTCACATGATGAGGTTTCATGAGCTTAAAAATAGAGGTAATAGGAGTCACTGTCATTTTGGGTTTGAGCTGGTGGTTTGTGTGCTGGATTCAAGGAATTTCCCTGCAGCTACTGCGTCCTCAGTTACTCTGGTGGTGCTGGATTGCCCCAGTGCTTGTCTGGGGTGAGTGATTTTATATATATATATATACACACACACACACATATATATGTGTGTGTGTATATGTATGTATGTGTATATATGTGTGTGTGTGTGTGTGTATGTGTGTGGTGTTTAAAATGCATGAATTGCAGAGTGAATGTCAGCTGAAGGACACATGAATGGATTCCAGGACCTGAGGACCTTGACAGGGTGCACTTTGAAACCTATAATGTGTTTTTGAAGGTTAAGATTAAGAAAGGTTCATAATTAGGTGGAACATGACCCACTAGACCAGGTTGCCCCAGTCCCCACCCAGACTGGCCTTGGACACATCCAGGGATGGGGCAGCCACAGCTTGTCTGGGCAGTCTGTGCCAGGGCCTCTCCACCTCACAGGGAACAATTTATTCCTAATACAGACTCATTTATAATCTGTAACAATCCAAGTTCTTTAGTGCTAATATACCTCTTCCTATCTGAATGACAATGCATGTTAGTAAGACAGGTTTCATTAAATAATTCAAACTTGATCTCAGGAGTTCAAGTATGAGTGTGAATGTTTTTTAAAGAAAAATTAATCACAGCAAAAACCCAGCACTTTTCTTGTGCCATGTCTCCACTTAGAAGTGACGATCTCCTAAAAAGTGACCACAGTCTTGCAGTAATTGTGTAATAAATGTCTGTGCAACTGATAACAAAATCACTGAGGCTGCTGGATGACTGGGAGTGCTTTTGAACTGCATATGTGAGCTGGGGACGGTGCAAGCACAGCTGCTGATGGGCGTGAGGTCAAAGCCCTTCCTGAGCCACACACAGGAACATCTCTGGATTAAAAACCCCAGGAATTCATTTCAGACTGGCCTGACTTGCCAGGCCTGTGACACACACCTGGGTAGCTCATATCACTGCTATGGGGCTCCTCACCTGCGGCTTGGGCTGCGCTGGGAACTGTTCCTGTACCTAAACAAATCGCTCCTTCGGAGCAGAGCTGGGAGTGCTGAGGCTCCCTCACGCCATTGATGCTTCCCTGGGGGCAGCGTCGCTTTCAGCCGCGTCCTCACACGAGCACCTACGGGAAGCGGGGCGGCAAAGCGCTCCCGATGAAAGGCCTGTGGGCGGCTCGGCGCGGGGGCAGGACGGGTTTGGGCGGAGGGCGGCGGGTCCCTCACCCTCACGCTGCCGCCATCCGCCGCCTCAGCCACCGCCCCTCGCGCGCAGGCGCGGGCGCGTGAGGGCGCGGCCGTTTTCCCGCGCAGCCGCGGCGCGGGGCGGGGCGGGGCCGGCGCAGGCGCGGCGGCGCAGCTGGCGGCCCGTGGCGGCGGCCCGGCGCATGCGCGGCGGCGGCCCCGCTGTCAGTTCCGGCTGTTTGTCCGGGAAGTGGCTCCGGCCGGAGCCGCCGCCGCCCCCCGCCCCCCCCCCGCCCGCTCCGCCGCCCGCGGCCGCGCCCCGGCCATGGCCCGGGACTACGACCACCTCTTCAAGCTGCTCATCATCGGCGACAGCGGTGAGCGCGGGCGGCACGGCCGGGGGCGTGGGTAGGCCGCTGGCGGGGTGGCCGCCCCTCGGGCCGTGAGGGGCCGGAGGCGGCGGCGGGGCTGGGGCGGGCGGCGCGGGGGGCTCGGGAGGGGCGGGCCCCTCCGCCCGGGCCGCCCTCGGCGTTGCGCTGCCGGTGCCGCGGCGCGGGGCTGAGGCGGGACCCCGCGCTGTGTGTGTGAATGGCGGGGCGCGTTCGCTGGGGCTCGGGGAGGTTTTATCTGATAAACCTGCGGAACTGGCTACCGCAGGATATTATGGTAAATAGCTTGGCTGCGTTTGGGAAAAGGCAGATTAGACACGCAGAAGGCAGGACACCACCGGCAGTGCTGCCGGCATCAGCCTTGGCGAGCGCGTGTTTTGACGGCACCCACTAATCTGTTGCTGGGATGGGGAGGGAATTCCCTTCCCCTGTGACAGGCAGTCTAGGGATCGAGGGGAAGGGCTGGCTGCCCTAAGGACTGTTGTTCCAGTGCGGCAGCTAATACGTTTTAACAGTCATTATTGTCTTAATTATTCCTTAAGACTTTTTCTATGCTTCAGCCTGAAGTCTCAGTTCCAGATTTCCTTATTTTTTTTAATAAATCCTGGAAGAGGTGGTAGCTTTGTGTACTTCTCGTTATTGCATAGAATGCAAATATATAAAAATAAAGGGTGTAGTCTGAGGTTTTAAAAACCAAAGGTGTAGATAAAAGGTGTAGTTTGAATTTTTTTTTGAAAATAGACCTTTAAATACTTCAGCAACCTCAGAAACTTCTGGAGGGCTGAGCGTGTGAACTGTGCCAGTGTCTGGTGCTTTGGTCTGGGTACACAGGAATTGGGACGGGGAAGATCGCTGCCGTCGGTGCAGCTCGGTGTTGGTAGCACTCCAGCAGCTTACAGCTGAATTTCCATAAACTGGAGAAGGGTGCATCCACCCTCTTCTTTTAACAGAGGTGTGGTCCGTGGGGCGGCAGGTCCCGGCATGCAGCGAGGCGCAGCCCTTGATGAAAGGGTGATGTTGCACGATCTTGGCAGTTGTCACCTTCGGAAGCTTTAGCTTCACGTCAGAAATGTTTTTTTCTACGCTAAACTGTGTCTGCATGAAGGGATCTAAGAAGGGAGACGGGACAGCAGCTTCAGAGCAGCTTAAACCCCAGACAGTTCTGGGAGCCTTGGATTATTGCAACCAAGCACTGCATTCTGAGTAGAGCAGTGGCTCTGTTGGTTGCTGATGAGTTCCAAAACTGTTCAGGCAAGATAAACAGGATGGTGAAAACTCTGAGGAAGACTTCTCATTTTAAACAATTAAACAAATTTTGCCAGCTCAGTCTTCTTGAGCGAAATCCCTGTAGTGTATCCAGTGAAAGGAGTGTTGTGAGAATTGTCAGGCGGCCTGTGGTTTTCTCCTGTAATTAAATCTCACAATGTAGTTTGACTATTGATTTTTCTTTGTTTTTGTTTTTGCTAACCCCAACAGGAAAGCTTTGTCTCTGCTTGCATGAAACAGTTTGCTTGCCTTGTTTATTGACATTTATTCCCTGCAATAGGAAGTGGACTGTTACTAGATAGGATAATTATGTCTCATCTGCTTTCCCCTGTATGCAAATATGTCAGAGGGGTAGTAGGTTTGTGTGTTTTTAGAACAGGTCATCTTGAAAAGCTGCTGGTGATTTCAGCTGTGCCAGATATTTAAAAATAACACAGATGATCTGTGCTTTGCTTTTGCTTCTTTAGTTCACTGTACTGTTCAGTAAGATATGGGTCTTAGAATCTTGTCTGACACTGAAATATACTTTTAATTTTAATTTTGCAAAGTCAATAGGCTTTTTTTTTTGTTTTGTTTAATCTTGCTATCTTCAAGAAGCTGAGGGCCCTGCAAGACTTCTCTTCAGATCTTCAAACAGCTCTGTGTGGGAAGTGTGGGGTCACCAAGAGTGTGGTTTCTCTATGCGTGAACAGTGTGGGTCAGAGGCAGTGTTTGCTTAGTGAGATCGTTGTCACTGGGAGCATGCAGAACTTCCTGAGTTCAGGAGCTTTCTTCTCTCTGGGAGCTGCCAGCCTGCTGGGAGCAGTGCAGCTTGTGCAGTGGAGGGCAGTGTGACAGAGCAGTGTCATGTGCAGCTCTGCAGCATCGCCCAGGGCTGGCTGAGCTCGGACCTGGTGCTGTGGTCTGACAAGTCTGTGGGTTCTGGCACCTTCTTGCCTTTCACTGAGCTGAAGGCCAAGGCTGCTTGGTCAAGAAGCACAGCACTTGATGCTGAAACATTCTTGTTTTCTCTTAGTTTCTTATTTTTTCTTAGTTGACCGGTATTTGCAGAGCTTTAATTCTGGCTAAATGACCAGTCCTCTGAAGTACAGGAACTGCTCTGCTACCTTTTTTGAGCTCAGAGGTATTAATTATATGCATGCTGAAACTTTGTATTTTTTAGTTCCTTTCCTCTTTTCCTCCTTAGTTTGGTAGTAGTGAGGAATGAACATGGCTTCTCCAGATGGCTGGTGATTTGAACTCTTTGCAAATGAGACCTGGCTTACTGTAATCATGCAGATTTTTGGGCTGGTTTTTATTTTTTGTTGGTAGTTGTTGTCACATGCCACCAGCTAAGAACTGGATTTCTGCAGAGCCTTTTACATAGGTCTTCTATTAGGAAGAATTTGCGATTTATACATCATCAAAATAATTACCTTGGATAATTTCTCCCTGAAAAGATATAATAGATAATTATTTCAGTGAAGTGAATTTCCTATTCATGCCATAGCAGATTTATTTTGATGAGGAAGGGTCATTGACAGCAGAGATGTTATGCAGAGATAACAACGTGGAGGCATTTGGATACCCAGATTCCCTTGGGTGGGTGTACAGGAATGAGTTTCTTACAGTTCTTGTCTGAAGCCCTGTGAAAAATGCTTCCCTGCAACAGTGTGTTATCAGGGTGCCAACAATCAGTTATGGAAAACCTGGATGAAGAGCTACTCAAAGCATTTAGAGGAATGTTTCATGGAAGATTTTGGCAACAAGGACAGCTTCGGGAAGGTGTGTGTCCTTCCTGTGAGATGTGGAACAAGGCTGTTTTGGATGGCAATACAGGACAGTGATTCCCAATTCCTGTTTGGTTTAGGCTTCTGTTAGACTGTGGCCATGCTGATGGGAGCTTTGTAGTACCGAGCCCTGGTGTGATTGTGAGAGCAGTCCAAATTCCACGCAGAATGGGAGGCAGGCAGTGGTGTTACTGACGTCAGACATGATGTGCAAGTGGAATTCAATAGAGTGCTGAATTCAGAGCAGTGTTCTGAGCACTTGTTAATTCACAGGACATGCTCAACTTTGGCTCTTTCCCTAGCAGATGTAAGCCTACTGATTGTAAACTTGCTTTTAGTTCTTATTCTTCTCTGACCACAGTTCAGAAGCTGCTGCTGGAGGGTTTGCTGAGGGCTGGCAGGAGGAGGGAGGGCACAAATCCCCCCTCCTTGCTCTGCTACCAGGAGCATCCTGAGCCTTGGGGTGACTGTGCTTGGTCAAATCTCCAGGGAGAGTGTGGAGATGAACAGTCAAGGTGGATGGTACTAAATAATGTGCCGGTTTTTATGCAATGGATGGTTAAAATACTGTTATGTTCCTGACCCCAGGATGACTATATTGAAAGATTTGCTGTGTTTGTTTGTCATAGGTGTGGGCAAGAGCAGTTTGCTGTTGCGTTTTGCAGATAATACCTTCTCAGGTGAGTGGCTTGTTTCCTTCAGTAAGTGAAATGCTCTAGGTTTGCTCCAGTGCTGCTGATTGATAAGAAATCTGTGTTTGCCCACTGATAGTTGTGCTGGGAATACATCATGCTTTTAACTTTGCATCTCTTGGTATAAGCCTGTACAGGCCATCCTGTCTGATCTTCACTTGGCAGCTGGAAGTCCCTGAATATTGAAATGCTGAGGTGGTTTCAGAAACAGCTTAGGTGGTTTAGGTTATGCTATACTCTCTGCAGACTTCCTATTAGCCATTTGGGATTTAGATTGATTGAGTATTGTGGTGAACCACTTACATTTCTGATATAACCAATTTACTGGGAGGAAGCTCCTAGAATGTCCAAAATAAGTGTTTCCACAAGCATTTAAAGACAAGTGTTGTCTCAAAATTTTCACAAGTGAAATGCTCTCATAGTTACTGTCTATTTCTTGAGATACTTCGATGCATACTCTTGATCAATGGGATTGAAAAATAATGATGTTATTTTGTAACACTCAGCTTTTAATTTTAAAGGTGGCTTGGGAGAAGTGGTTTTATGGCTAGGAAGAAAAGCTCTTAGCTGCGGATAAAAATACGTAGATCAGCATGATATAAAGCATTTTAAACAGTAAGCAGATATGGGGAACCTTGTTCTCCTGTCCAGTCTGAGAGCTGCTGCCAAGTAATGTTCAAGAAGTGTGCTTTGGGACATCCAAAATAAACAAGACTAGGTTCTCACTTTCCCACGCTTTCCCTCCAGGCAGCTACATTACCACCATTGGAGTGGATTTTAAAATCCGGACAGTTGAGATCAATGGAGAGAAGGTGAAACTCCAGATCTGGGACACAGCTGGCCAAGAACGCTTCCGGACTATTACATCAACGTGAGTAACGCTGGCCTTTGTGCTGTGGAGCTTTGGGTCTGGATCTCATAGTCCAGAGTTGGGGTTTAGATATTTAAGTGTTGCAGTTGATTATCTCATGATAGCTGTGTGGTCTGTACAGTGAAACTTTTCTCAGCTTTGTCAGAACCAACCATGATGGGGATATTCTGGCAAGGTTTGGAACTGGGATCTCAGAGTTCTTCATCCTTCTGTGCATTTCTGTGGTGGCTTTGTCTTATTGCTTTGCTGCTGGTTTCCAAATGGTAGAACTGGAGTTATTAGACTGCATATAGTAGACAGCTTGTCTCTGTGCCTGTCCAAGTTTGTCCTCTGAGTGCACTGCAGAAGCACAGAGTGCAAACCCTCTGTCAGTGTCATATAACTAATGAACAGCTTGAAGATGAAGAGTAGGATTTCTCCTGGTTTTCCTTTAGGACAAATGCTTTAGCAGCTATCTTTGTGTGGAGTTCTGCTGAAGCAGACGCCCACATGATATTAACCTTTTCCTTGGTTGGAATTCAGATTCGAACTCATTGTCCTTTTGAACAGCATGTGCAGAGCTTTTCCTGTTCTGAAGAAACCACACCTAGAGCTGTGCTGGTGGGAACTAAGAATAAAATGTGTTTGTAAACTGATTGCAGTAAAAGTGGACTGCTCATGGGGGGAAGAGGGAAAAGTGCACTTGGAAATGGAACTTTTGTTCCTTGGGCTTTTACCGAAATAATTCTTGAAAGATCCATGTGTTTCATGTGGTCTTTCATGACTCACTTCTCCTTTGGCTCTTATTTGAGAGGAGGATCTTTTTCAGCTGATTAATTGATTAATTTACTCGGACCTGAAAATAATGAGATTGGTTACATCTGTGTTATGTCTAAAGCACTAGAAATGGCAAAGTTGAACGTGATGTGTGCACCGCCCCTTTCCTCTGCACTCCCATACGGATATTACTGGGTTACTTCCATTGTTTCTTAAGTGTTTAGCTTGAAAAAAACTCGGTTGCCTCTTGTAGGGTTCCTGTGTGTGACATCACTTCTTGTTGGAGCGCTGCAGGCAGTTTAGGGAAGGAAGTGGTGAGGGGGAGGCAGCCGTGCAGTGCTGCGGCCCTGTCAGCTGTGACAGACGAGTCAGAGAGCCCCGATTACTGCTGAGTCAGCAAATGGCCTTCCTGTTTGCAGATTCCCCGCCGCGACTCCGGCTCGGGAATGAGCTTTGGGTCGTGGGGCTGATGCCAGCTACCTTAGAAAGCCACGGTGTATCCAGCACTGAGCAGGGAATTCCAGCAAAGGAGGATTCCTTCTGTCAGTGGGAATAGCTGCGGATCGGACCTCACACAGTGTTTTATGTAAATTCTTTTCTTGATTGACATTTCAAATAGATAAGCTGAAGTGGTTTGAGGCATTTGTGCCGTGAGCTCTTGGATCTCTGCTGCTACTTCCTTTTGTATTGCTTTTTACCCATATTTTACTATGGGGGATCTAACCTTTTGGGGTTTCTGCCTTAGCATTACTGAATGGTAACTCCATGGTCAGGGAAAAAGATCTGCATTTTTTGCAATTCTGTGCAAAGAAGTACATGTGTCCAAATGCATTTGAAGTGTTGAGGAAAATGCTTTGGGAATGATGGTTATCATGGGATGAGGGCTCCTCTTGCTAGGTTGGTTGGCTGTGCCTGTCTAGTGTTCATAATCATATCAGACAATAACAAGAGTTAAATTTTAGAAATGGTTCTGGCTGGCTTGTTGGTTTTTTTTTTTTTTTTTTTTTTTTTTTTTTTTTTAATTTATTGGCAAAATAGTACTGTAACTGATTTATTTATCCTAAACTGAGTGACAAATCAAGTAACCTTGCTTGTTCTACAAAAGGGCTTGGCTATCAAATCATGGGTGGAGTGTGAGTGCCCTGTCAACAGAATGTAGTAGTCTGCCTAGTCTTTGACTAGATTGAGGTTTAGACTGAAGTTAAGCATATCAAAGGTGTTCCTTCAGTATTACAGTAGGTCAGGGAGTCCCTTTACAGTGAAAGGCAGAGTTCAGATTGATGTTGAGCCAAGCCTGGCAAGCAAGCCTGAAATTAGAGCCCATCTGGTAATTACAGTAACAGGTTGGTAGTGCTGCTGTGTGGACTTAGAACTGTAAAATGGCAGAGGTGGTAGGAAGTTAATAGTGGAAAATTGGGAAACATTAAAAGGTTGTTGTAGTTTGATTTCATGTGACTGTAGCTACAGTCAAAAGCTGAAAAGCAGATTAAAACTGTTAAGGAACAGAAATCAAGTTGGTCTGGAGTATTCTACAGAAGCTCAAGAAAATGAAACTAGATCAGAATTTCAGACTAGGAAGTATAAAGGCAGCTGGTTTTATTGTCTGTTAAATGTGTAAATACTGGGATAGCTGGTGCCTTCTGGGAGGAGAGGCTGAGCTGTGTGAATTTGGTTGCCATGGAATGTCATCCAAATTAAATTTGATTTAAATTCACCAGGGATTTAGCATGCCAGGATGCAGCTGTATTAGCAGGAATACTTAAAATGCATGAACAGCCAGTCCCTGTACTTGATTTCCTCTTGTAGACAGGACTACTTTGTCCTGATTCAGGACTGTGGGTTTAGGATTCAAGCTTTATATAATGGCTGTCAGATGCCAGCTCAGGATGAATAGTGATAGCAGAGGGACCTTCTGCCATGGTTTCCTGTGGAATTGCATGTTTGAGAGAGGGATAAGACCTTTGAGATTATAGAATTACTGTGTCTTGTGAGGCAGATATGACTAAAAGGCTAGTAGTTAAAAGAGTGGTCTGACTGACAATAGATGTGCTTCCAAGAACTTGAAAGAAAGATGAGTATGGAACCAGATTATTAGAAGTCTCTGGAAATGGTTAGAATTCTATATTAATGAAAAAATGAAGGAAATGTGTGCTACACAGTGAAATATGAACAAAGAAGCTGAATTAAACCATTGCCCTGTCTTTCACATTTGACAGTTTTCCTGAAAAAAAACAACATATGGGTCTTACTGGACCAAGATAGTGTCTCTCTTAAATCTGACTTAGCTACAGCTGTGGTTCATGAAGCTGGTTGTTATTACTCCAGATGTTAATATTGGGAAGCAATTGCTAGAGGGAATATGAGAGCTTTGTCACTGGTTTCTTGCAGTAGCAAATGCCCCAGAGAGTGGCAAATGTTCCCTCATGTTTTTCAAGGCTGTGTTCAGGGACTTGAGAGTGGAATGCAGGTGGCTGAAGGACATGCTGAGTTTTGGTAATCCCCAGTTTAATTCTAGTGGTAGAACAAGCAATAAGGTGTTTATTTCAACTTAAATGTTGTCTTAAGCCTTTTTCACATCTAAACTAGATGTAAAGCCCCTAGGTCTAGGGATTTCCAAGTATATGGGAGATTGTTGGCAAGCATCCAAGGGCATACACAGGTCAGGTTTGGTTGTCTTTCACCTCAGGATGAAAGTTTCATGGATACTCTTTAACATGAATAACTGGTCTTGAACATTTTTTTCTGTATTTCATGAAGGTATTCCCACCAGGGTACGTGGCAGAGCACTCCCACCTCACAGAGGACAGCCAGCATCAGTCTGTGACTGAGAAGCTCAGATTGAGGACTTCAGGTCTCTTCTGCTTTCATTTCTGTGGTCTCCATTTCCCCAAAATTGTGGATGGGAAGGAGATAAGACATTCTTTCCCTTGTGTCAAAGTCTCAACTACCTCTTGGTTGCCAAAAGCACAAAATTTACACCTACTCCTCCCTGAATGCCAAAAGCCCCATCTGTTCTCTACTCGCCAAAGCCCACAACCTGTTATAAAAGCATTTCTGCACTGCATCATTCTGGAAGTTGAAGTATGGGATAGGATAAATCAGTTTTTGTTTTCTAGTGCTGTCCTGCATTTGGGGTTGGAGAAGCTTCGCTGTACTTGTTAAGCCTAAAATGTTATCTAGGATGCAGAGCATCTAACAGCTGATGGAAAATATCATGACCAGCTTTTTGAGAAAAAATGTGTGCTATGAGACTTAAGAGTTCGAGAATAACAGGTAGTCATGGTCTTATCTCTCAGGCTTATCTCCCTTAGTAATGACAGCCAATAGAGAAAATGACATTTTAGTGTAGCTGAGGGGTTGGCAACCTTTCTAGAACGATGTGCCAGACAATTTTCTGTTCCAAAAATAGCATCAGTGTATGCTGGTAGGCACTCAGCAGGAGTCAGGGGTTGCTGTCTTGCACAAAGGCAGCTATTTCTGATGAGCTGGTTGGCAATACCAGTGGCAGCAGCTCCAAGCCCCTGCAGGATTCCCATTGCTGTGGTGGTCTCTGCTGCAGGGTCCAACCCACATCCCCCATCCCAGGAGCAAAATGCGACGGCGCTGATGATGTGTCAGGAGTGGGATTGGTACGTGCAGGCTGCCAGTTTTCCACTCCTCGACATCATATGCTTTGCTTAGAAGAAAATGTAGGTGCGTGGGCAAGGCAGGAGCAGCAGGGTGCTCTGTTGGGCCCCTGGTTGGGCTGGCAGGGATGCCAGGCTGGGCTCGGTGTGCACAGCAGAACGAAGCAGCTCTGCGTAGGTGCAGCTGAGCCACTGCGCTTCTCCAAGGGCTGAGTGTTGTCTTGGCAAATGCAATGCTCAGCGCTGGGGAGGAAGTGGTAGGTCAGCCTGGGGGCTGCTGAATTAAAAGACTAGTAGGTGATGATATGGGAGAGCTTGAAGGTAATTGGTGTATTGTTCAGCTGTGGAGAAATCCAGTGTGTTGGTAGGATTGGGGATCTTTCCCTTTCTGATTTTATCACGCAAAACAGGATTCATGAAAACCAGTGTGCAGGGCATGCTAGTGTCAGGAGAGGATGGGTTATTTTTGCAGTATGTGGATTCAGGCCATGGAGCACTTTTCCCTCTAAAGGATCCAAGTTATGAATAAAGTTGGGTTGTAATCAAGTAAAGCATGAATGCAGTGCTGTAGCAAATTTTGAAGTTGTTGAAAGAACTGACTGTGAATGGACTAGAACATTTGAAAGCGCAGGATTTCTTATGGGCTGGCAAATAAGTATTTCTTACCTGAGTGAGTTCTTGCCAAGGGATGCAAATGCGCAGCATAAATCACTGGTAAAACATGGCATGGGAGAAGATTTGAGTGTCTTCTGCATGTGCCTAGATTGGCAGTAGGAGCAGACTGTTCTACTGCAGAGCATCCTGGAGGAGCAGTGATACCCAGGCACTGTAGCTGCAGTGGGATCAGGGGAGGAAGGTGTGTGACTCTGGGGGTGATCTGTGCCTCTCTGCAAGTCTGATGGTGCATAAAGGCAGGTGGCTGCTCTTGTGGAAGGATGATGAGGCTGGAGGTGGGAGGAGACAGTGACTTGCTTAAGCACTTCAGTAGCAAAGTGAGCTGAAGCTTTGAGATCTTCTCAAAGGTGTGTTTGGGTTAGATTCAAAGGCTTTGAAGTTCAAAGGTGTGTTTGCTGAGTTGGAAAAATCAGAGAAGCAAAATGGTCACAGTGGTCACCTCTGAGGTGCAGTGGATGTACTGCAAGAAGTGCTTGTGATAAGACAGCAAGGTCAAGGAATGTTGTCACAGTTTAAGGGAATAGTCTCGATTTTGTATGCTGGTTTCTTGAATTTGTTTTATTAAAAATTTTAATATTGATCAGAAGAAAAAGAAGAGGATGAAAGGAAAAGAGTAAACCTACACATAATATGAAAAATGGATCCTGATGAAGACCTCACTGTTAACTGTTTCCTTTACTGTTAACTGTTTCAATTACTTTTTGTTTTTTGGGTCACAGCTGCATGATTTGCAATAGGGAATGAACTTAGCAGCCTTGTGATTGTGGCTGAAAACTGAGAAGGTAGAGCTTGCTGGTTTTCTATTTGGCATTTTCGTGGTGCAACTACTGTCTGTCTTTGGTAGCTTTGTGCAGGTGATAATGTTGGATCCTGAATTCAGATATTTTTCTTGCATATCAGACCTTGTGCATCATCTTTTAAAGGTACCAGTTGCCCAAGACTAATGGGAATAAACTGAAATAAAGCTTATTTTTAATGGCTAAAGGTAGCAGAGTGTATTGAATGCACATATGGAGCCGATCTGTTGAGTAGGAAGGTGTGATCAGAACACAGTCGCTCAACAAGACAGAAATTTTTGAGAGCTCGAGAGAACTGTGGCTGAAGGTTGAGTATATTTGGAGATCTGCTGAAATTTTAGTCTGTAAGTGATCGTTCACAGATAACAGAATTACTGCAAAAACTTGTTGTGGCTTATACAGCCCCAAGGATCACATCACAGCCAGTTCTGATGATGTGCTGGGGGTACCGTTGCCTTTGGTCCTGTAACTGGAAGACAGCATTCATCCCTGAAGGCCTTGACAACCTGAACAAGGAAGATTTTAGAAGAATTTGGACTTGGAAACATTATTTGTGTAGAGTGAATGAGCAGGGAGCTCTGTAGCTTTGGAGGAGCAGCCTGGGATCAAGCTGTTACGAAAGAGCTGCATGAGTCTCAATGGAAAGAAAATGGGAGCATTTGATTGCCATAACTTGAGGATTTGTTGTGTAGAAGCTCAGTGGAAGAGAAGGTGATACCCTGAGTTAACATTTGCTGTCCTTTTGTACCCCACAGGTATTACAGAGGAACACACGGGGTCATTGTTGTCTATGACGTAACGAGCGCAGAATCCTTTGTGAATGTAAAACGGTGGTTGCATGAAATTAATCAAAACTGTGATGATGTCTGCAGGATACTAGGTGGGTAATTAAGAAGTTACAGCATCATATTTAGTGGGCTGGCCTGCTGGAATACCAAACTGACTTTTATTCTCTTTCCTTTTTGAGTGGGCAATAAGAATGATGACCCAGACCGAAAAGTGGTAGAAACAGAAGATGCCTATAAATTTGCTGGGCAGATGGAGATCCAATTGTTTGAGACCAGCGCCAAAGAAAATATTAATGTGGAAGAGGTAATATAACATTCAGAAGAGTAGAAATATAATGATATAGGGATAATGGTGTGGGAAGAAATAGAAATTCCATTCTTCCCATTGAGAAAGAAAAAGTACTTGTACAAGTTGCAAGTAGTAGGTAAAATGTAAAAAAGAGACATTCAGCTGTTTTTGGAAGAGTTGGGAAAGCAAAATGAAGGAGCCCACACTGCATTTTCAATAACTTTGCAGTGCTCATGTATTAGGCAAGAAAGACTTGAGAATGCTTGTAGGAGGTAAGGTTGCCCAGGCTTCACTCCTGGCCTCAGTTGCCAAACTGCCCTGTTTTTTTGGAAAAAGGGATAGAGGTACTGTTTTGCATGGGGGTGGGTTGGGAAAAGGTATTGGATTTCCACTTGGGCCATAGTGGGTTGGGAAAGGTCTCTGAAGCATTATTAATACATAAAGAAAAGGGGAATGGCTTCCAAGGAGCAGCACCCCACAGGAGCCAGCCTGAGTTCTGGGGTGGTCTGAGTGTGTTTGTTTCTCTTGCAGATGTTTAATTGCATTACAGAGCTTGTCCTGCGAGCAAAGAAAGAAAACTTAGCAAAGCAGCAACAGCAGCAACAGAACGATGTGGTGAAGCTAACAAAGAACAGTAAAAGGAAGAAGCGGTGCTGCTAATGCCCCTTCCTGCTGCAGAGACTCTGCTCTCAGACAGATCAGCCCCTCCAGCTAGACTCGGGCAATTCCACTGGGGCAGGCTTTGGGAGGACTTTCTCAGTTTTGTGCCGTTATTTAAAGATTATTTTTTCTCCATGTTTTCTATCAAGAGGCGCTGGCACCTTCCCACTGCAGTGCCAAGAAGGTATCGGATGGAATCTTGCCCCCCTCTCCTCCCCTGCTCATTCCAGTGCGCCTTGTAGACAAGAAGGACGTTGCCTACCAAGTGGACTAATTAACCCAAGAGTTTGTACATAATGTATATTGCTTTAACCAGCCTCGCCTCTCTGTTGTCGCTTTGGCTTCTGCCTTCTTAATGTCAACCAATCATGGACTGCAGAGTTCATCTTTTTAAAGAAAAAGTTTAAAAGTTCTTAATTTGAGTTGGCCCTGGGCTGGCAGCGACTGCTTCCTGGGGCCTCCAGCTGCATTTCTGTTGGGCTCCAGGCTGGCAACTGGTGCCCCTGGGGCCCTTGGCTTCTCCTGGAGTCCCAGGCTTTTCCTGGGGCTCGGGTTGTGTTTTTCTAGGTACCAGGATTGCAGGTGTCACTGCTGGAACCTGGGGTTTCCTTTCACCAGCCCCTGGGCTGGCAGCTGGAGCTGCTGCTGGGGCCTGGAATTTCAGCTTGCCATCATCCAGATTTGTGGCTGGATCCTTGGGTTTCACCTCCTTGTGCTGCAGTCCAGCTGTACCTGTGCTCTTCTGTAGTTTGTATCAAGATACTGGAAAAGAAACTGACCTGCAGAAGTGGGATTTGTTTGGATAAAACTTTTTTTTTTTTTTTTAAGCAAAGTTTAACAACTTTGACCTCTGGTTCTGCCAGTGTCCTAAGTGAGGGTCCATTTCTTTTGAGAAGAACAAAAATCGTGTGATTCTGCCAAAAACCCCAAACTTCTCCTTGTTGCCCTGTCCACAAATAGGCAATCTGAACCTGAATGTGAATTTTGTTGGCAAAGCTTTTGTTTTTGAGAGAGAAAAGGCATGAAAAAAAAATCCAGCTTTTTTTATTGATGTCAGAATATGAAAGCTGCAGGATCATACCCGGGATTCTTCTGTTAGGAAGGAGGACTTCAGTTTAATGCAAAGAAATGGAAAGCTTGCTTGCTTGGGTTATGTGGTGGTGGAGGATCACACTTGGAAACAAGCTGGGCTAGCTGTGCTCAGCAACATTTTCCTGGCCCTTGTCAGCCTTTCTGGGAAAACAAGGGCTCACTTCCTCAGCCTGAATAGATGTAGTTAAAGGTGGAGAGTGTATGTGTGTGTAACTAAAATATCAAATGTCTGGGCTGAAAGGACATGCTCAGCACCTGAATTATTGCCTAAATAATATTAAAAAATAATTTTACCTTAAAAGGCACGGGAGGGTATGTCTTCCTTGAAGGTGGACATAGTCCATGGGCCAGTAAGTGGCCCTATGGAATTGCTGGCCTTAGTTTGGTAGGATGTGATTCACCCATGTCCATGAGCTTGGAATCAGCCCACTTCTCTCCCTTCCTCACCCTTTCCCCAGGAGAGGCTACATTTTAGTCACTTATTTTGCCTGCATTTTTTTAGAATTTTCAGGTTGTGGTAAGAGCCCTGAGCATACAATCACATCACAGTCAATCACTTTAAAGATTTTTTCCGAAGTGCAAATGATGAATGTGTAACACGTGGGTTTTTAATGGGATCAGGTGCTGGGGATACATATCCAGCTGCCTTCACCCACCTCTTTTCTTCACATATCCTGCATTGGTAACCCAAGGATTGCAGTGAGCTGGGATGATGCTGCTGGGCTGAGCTCTGGTCATTGTTGAGAGGCTGTGCAAAGCCTTAGGTCACACCAGCCCACCCTGCCTGCTCTCCAGTGTGGAATGTGGTGTGTGCTGGGAGGAGCTGGGCCAGTCCCTGGAACTGTCCTGTGGGGGTTCTCCCCTGCAGATTGAGGGGCCCAGCTGTGTTATTACTTTGGGAATCTTGTTGGTAGCTGTGTGCAGATCTAGGAGGGAGTAACTTCCTATAGGCAGAAGTAAAGAACATGTCTGAATTTACTGGAAATGATGCAATAAAATGAGGAAATGGTGCACCCAAGTCTGGAGTGTTCTCTTATGTGGAAAAATTTGTCCTCTTTGAGTCCAGGTTTTTGTGGCCAAGGTTGGAATTCTGTCAATCCAGGTCCAGCTTCCTGGCTTTTAAAGTGGGATTTTTTTTTTTTTTCCCAGAGCTGGCTGTAGAGGAGCAGTTACCTCTGCTCTTGCCATCACTGTTCAATTGGAAGGGGTGGGGACCGTGTCTCTAGTGGTGCTGATGTGAAGTTTCCTAAATGTTGAGCAATGGAATGTCTAACTGGTTTGCTAGGATTATTTCTGTAATGAAAGTTTCTAATTATGCTTTTTAAATAATTTTAAAAAACTAAAAATAAAGGTTACAAGCTGCCAAATCTTTTTTTGAGGCTCTGTTTCCTCTGCTGACCAGCACCTGGAGGTGGAGGGTGGCAAGCCAGGGGTGAGCTCTGCTGCTGTGTGTGAAGGGTTATTTCCTGACAGGGGATATTAAAAAAAAACTTAATTAATGCTTTCAAATGTTTAGTTGCTGTTTTAGTTTGAATGAAAGAGGAAGGTGGAACAAGTAACTTACTTCTGTGTGAAGTGAGATGCCTGTTATTGTGCTGTAATCTTTTGTCTTTCTGCTCAACAAAAAGTATTGAATGAGCTTTGAAAGCTCCTCCTCCCGAGGTGACTAAAAAGCATCTGGAGTCTCTCCTCACTTTGCCAGGAAATTACTGTGTGTTTAATTAACCTGTGCAGGAGCTGCAGCCCTGGCTGTGCCCTCAGCATCCCTTTGCCCTGCCCAGGCTGCTCTGGCAAGGTGCCTTTGCTGCATCTGCGCCCTTCTGGGAGGAGTAGCTGGAGGGGACTCCTGGGGACATGTGGATGGTCTGAGCTGCAGCTGCTGCCAGCTGTGGATGTGTCACTGTCTGTGTTTGGTGTCTGAACTCCTTCCAGTCTGAGTCTGCCTCCATACCAGGGCCAGTAGAGGACATAAATGGCTGGAAGGTGGGATGATTTACCCACCTTTAGGTGTTCCTGTGCATCAAGAGATGCAGATGTTTCAAATGTGCTGCCCTGGCCCCTTCTCTCCTAAGCACACACAGGGGCTTTACCTGGCTGAATTCCTGAGGATGATGCAGCACCAATGATGCTGCTGGGTGTTAAATGACAGTTCAAAAAAGGAGCTTGTTCTGCAGCTGGGCACAGTAAAGTGGTGAGAGCTGAGACAGTGTCGTATAAATGATCTGTTTTATTCTGAAGAGAACTATTTACAAAAGAAGTAGAGCATTGTTTTTACTAAAAATATGCCTTTATAGATTTTTATAATATGTATCTTATAAAAACCATACATTTATTTACATGACTGCTACATACAAAAATTACAGCACTGTGGTATATGTACATATCTATAGGTACATTCTTTCTGCTTGTCCCTGCTGTGTGCTTTTTCCCTTTCAATCCAAGGGAATCATTGCTGCAGCACCCAGACACTTCCTTTCTTGGCTTTTTGGTTCAAACAATCTTGCTTTTTATAGCCGAGTGGGGAGTAGAGAGTTTGCCTGATGGAGAGGCATATCTGGAATCTACCATTCTAAGTAGGACAAGTGCATGTGGCCCTGGCTGCAGCCTCACTTCCTGCTCTCTCTGCAGAATGACTCTGTTGTCAGTAACTTTTTGATTTACTGTTCATCTCCATGGCAAGTTGCTGATCTCAGTTTGTATGAAGATAAAGTGCTAGTGACTTGTCTTTCATTTACATTTGTTCCTTGTTTACAGTTGCTTCCCTTGCAGAGTTTAGGAAGGGGGGACTGATCCCTTTTCCCTCAGCTTGGCATAACAAACATTTGCCCAAACAGTCACCTGTTTGTTACCTGTAGGAAAGTCCTTTGTAACCTTAATCTCAGCAGGCATCTCTTCTCTGTGCAATACTTGAACAGTGACTGAGCAGCACTACTGTTTTATTTACTGTTATCTCAAAAGCAAGGCTAAGGGTTGTGTTTACAGCTGCTGATCCCACTCATTAAATCTCCTATGGGATCCTGAGTACCTGCTGGATTAATGTACCTCTTCCATATAATCTCCTGGAGCTGATGTTTCCTTTATACCGTGGGTGTGTCCTGGAAGAGTCAAGTGCCACAAGTGAAGTGTCTTCTAACCAGCACTGCAAGGCTGATTCTGGGCTCCTGGCCATGACAGCATGAAGGTGAGTGTGTAAATGACAGCACAGGGTGAAGTAGTTGGGACCTTGTTAAAAAACAATGTGACAAATGGGTGTGAAGGACTGCACAGGTGAGGTTTTTCAAGACAGAAGACAAAACCTAGCTGCTGTGTTAAGGCAGTTGCTGTTCCTGTGGAGTAGCAGCTCAGCACAAGGAGGTCTCCTTTGGTGTGTTGTCCAGTTCATTACACCCAGTTCTCTTGTATCTCTGGGTTTAGTAGTGCAACTAAGTCTTTAGGGTGAAGGGGCTTGTTGAAGAAACCAACTTGTTTGAAGTACCCAACTGGCACCTTAGAACATGCCTTCCTCTTGCAATCTCTTCCATTACTCTTGTTAAACAAAATTGCAATGGGATTAAGGATTCAATTAAATGAAGAGATGTGCTGTGCCTACCTCTGCAATTGACTGAGTCACTTTCCTCAGCTAATGTAGCAGAAGGCACCTTCATCTCATTACTGCATTTTCATGGGATAACTTAAGGCCCTTGCCTTAGGATTGCATCCATCCATCCATCCATCCATCATCCATCCATCCATCCATCCATCCATCCATCCATCCACCCATCCATCCATCCATCCATCCATCCATCCATCATCCATCCATCCATCCATCCATCCATCCATCCATCCATCCATCATCCATCCANATCCATCCATCCATCCATCATCCATCCACCCATCCATCCATCCATCCATCCATCATCCATCCATCCATCCATCCATCCATCCATCCATCCATCCATCCATCCATCCATCCATCCTCACTGGGGTAGAGTCCCACACAACTGCTGGGCATGTAGGTTGAAGAGAGTTGGTGGGGTCTGGGAAGTGACAACTGACAGCAGAAGAAAGGGCCCCGAAGACCAAGATGGTCACATGGCTCTCCTGTGATAGAGCATCGTTCTCAGTGTTCACAGGTGTCACTGTCACAGGTGTCACTGTGTCATGGGTGTCACTGGCATCCACGCTGCCACACCTCATTTTGCAGGAATCAAAGGTTGGGGTAATGCATGTGGGTGTGACTGAGTCCTGGCAGCAGGAGATGCTGAGTATGTGCCTCATGTCCCTGTCCTGTGCAGAGTCACAGTAGAAGCAGGCTGGGAGGACGAGGACAGCAGAGAGCATGTGGCACTGCACTGCACCCTTCCCCTGGCTTGCAGGTGCTGGCTACAAGTGGCTACAAGCAGATACTCAACAGCTGAGCATTGCCTAGAAAGGAGAGGCCAAAGTTCAGTTTCCTTCTCTGCCTGTGAGGCTCCTGATGTCTTTCCCCAAAAGTATCAAGCTGTATCGGTGGGGCTTTGCCCAAGTATTTCGTGAAGGAAGCTCTGCAATCCAGGGTTCGTTGCTTTTATGTGGATGGGTTTTACCACTCAGCTCTTCACTATCATTGCCAATCTCAGAGCACCCTGCTCCTTGCAACCCAGAGCTGCCTTAGTGCAAGATGGTTTCATACCAGTGTGGTGGTTTCATGTAACAAGGAAATACAGGAATGCTCAAATCTTCATAGGCAGAAAGGATATTTGTACTGAGGTATTATGGATGTTCTATCCCACAGGGAAATTGAATAACACTAAAACCCAAGCCACCAGCCTCCTACCTGCTGCTTAGAAGGTGTTTGGTACCTATTCTAGCAGAAAGCTTGTTCCTGTGAGCTGTGAGCAGAGATAGCAGCTCCCTGTGGGATGGTGTGTTAGCACCGAAGTTGCTGAGCAGGGCAGAGCTGAAGGTGCACCAGCTCTGTCTGCTGTGGGACAGTGTAGGTGGTGGCCTTTTGAAAGAAGCAGGAAACAAACTGGGCCCTACCCATGGGTATCATGAGCTGGCAGAATGTGTGAAAATTGCATGACAGCAGCAGGACATCTCTGAACTGAGCCTGGTGTTCCTCACTGGCTTATGATGGTAGACTGATAAAAGAGCTGTAAAGTGCCCATCCAGTGCAGAGGAGAGGTCCTTACTTGAGTATTGCATGATTTCCAGCACTGCTGTGTGCTGAATACACCAAAAAGCCACGAAGCCATGTTCCTTCTTGTTGATCAAGTTGTGCAAAGCAGGCTCTGTCATCTTTGATCAAAAGCACCTTTGGCTACCTGCTCATCAAAGGGCTGAGTAGCAACTGACCCACAGGCAGGGACAAATAATCCTTTCTGTCAGGCCATAGCCAGTGTTACTGCATAGGGCAGAGTAACCTGCAGGCTTTCCAGAGCTCTGTAGAGACCTTGATAGCCTTTGGCTTCAGTGAAGGCAGATGCCAGTGTGCTTTCTGAGGATCGAGTCTGCCAACCCAGTGTCAAAGACTGACTGACATCATGGGGAGTAGGCTTTCAGTGAATTACTAGTCAGGCTTTTGGGAGGCTATCCAGTTAAAATGAGTTTTCTTACTCTGGGTGATGTGTATGGCTTTGGGGAAAGGTGTGTGACTTGCTGAAGCTCCCAAATTACTTTTGGCCATTGGAGGAAGAGCAGGTGCCCCAGGACTGAACATGCACACCTTTTATCCAGTCTGTAATTTGCTGCAGATGATCAGTCTCCTGGGGAGAAATCTGTAGCTACAGCCTGCAACTCTTACCTCTGTAACAGGAGGAAGCTGGAAGGACAATGACACCATCTATCTGTCCCCAGCCCTGAGCTGCAAGGAGCCTGGATTCCAGCGAGGGTGAGCAACCACACAGAGCTCCAGGGGAGATGGTGCCCAGGCAGCAGCTGTAGTGAGGGCTCAACTTCCACCATGGAGAAAGCTACATTTGTCAAAACATGGTAGTGCTGGGGCCAGAGTGACTCCAGTCTCAGTGGGATGGATGAAGGATGTCACAGCTGCCAGGGTGATACAAATGGCTCCCTTCTGTCCTCTTGCATTCAGCTCTCTTCTTCCCCCTGTGCTCCCTGTGACAGAAGTTCTCAATCCCCTGCACCGCTCTGTCTTGGGGCTGCTTATTTCCTTCTCCAGCACAAGAATGCTTTTAAGACAATCCGAGAATTCTTCACAGCAGAAATTGGACTGTGACAAAGCGCCTAAAATATACCCTGAAGTTTATCACTTCACTTATAGAATAAGAAAAGTTTCTTTCTACTAGAATCACATTGTCAATTTGCAAATCTCCAATTCATGTAAACATTTGGTTCAGACCAGGTGCGGTGTAAATAGTGCAGAGTCTTAAGGGTTAACTCCTTTGCCCCCTTCTTTTTTACTCAGTGAATCAGACTTGGGTCCATCAGCAAGCTGGGCAGCTGCCCCACTCCCCATCTTGAAGCAGGAATTGTTGGAGAGTTTTCTCTTTTTCAAATTAATTTTTCTTGAAAAAGGAGAAGAGACGGTTTCCTTCGGCCCCGCCGGGCTCGTCCCCCTGCTGCTCCGGCCTGAGCGCGGGGGAGGGCCTGGCACTCCGCTTGGCGCCGGAGCCACTGGAGAAGGAATAAGCAAGCTGGCTCCATTCCTTCGGGTGTTTGTCCATCAGCTGCTGGTCAATGACCCTGTGCATGTCATCCTGCAGCAGAGGGAGAGGACAGGGCCGTTAGTGGCAGCTGATGCTCAACGGGGGCTGGCGCGGGGCGGCTGAAATGGGTATGAAACGTGCAGAGATGAGATGGAGCAGGGATGACAGGCACAGGTCTGTGTCCCCCACCCGACAGCAGGCTCAGCTGCTGTGAGGCTTTTCAGGGAGTGAGGAAGATCAGTCACACAATTCTGAGGGATGAATTGCTCAGGTGGTCTCGCACAGGCACTCTGTGCCACCCCTAAGCTGTGTTTCTCTGCTGTCTGCACCTTGCAGATGTCCCCTTTGGGGGAGAAATAAATAAGAACAAATGCAGCTGAAAGCAAAGGTCAGAAAAGGAAGGAGGTCTGTGCTGAGCAGGTCTGTGTGCACAGCAAGGGGACAGGCGGGGTGGCAGAGCTGCTGCATGGCCACTGTCACTGGGACTTCTTTGAAGAAAGTGCCAAGGGGCTGGGGGAAGTGTGGGCCCACCAGAGCCCTTCTGGGCTTTGCACCAGACTCACCAAACAGAACTGAGCTCATCCCTTAGACCCCCTCCTTCCCCTAGGGCCAGCAGAGCAGTGGGAGCTCTGACTGACAGCTCAACATAAACTGTGGCTTTTCAGGTGTACCAGGAATGCCCTGATTTCATCCATGTTTGCACCACAGTTAAACTGCTTTATACAAAATAATTACCCAGTTCTATTGCCACTAATGATGTGCTAACATGTTCCATGAAAACCGGGCTATAAATTTTACAGATTTTAAACTTTCAGATCCATTGCTTCTCCTATAATTGCATATTTAAGCTACAGCTTAGTGAAAATGTATGAAAACTAGCCCCACAGGAGGAATTAACTACTCTCCAGCAGTTTGGTCCCTGACTAGGGCTGGTGAGAACAGCAATACTCTGGATGGGCTGGAGTGGTGGAAGTGCTGTTCATTCAGCACCTGGTGAGGGGCAGCCTGTCAGGGCAGCCCCAGGACTGCAGGGGAGGTGCTGCCATTGCCCAGCAGGTGCCCCAGCTGCTCTGGATTGGAATCAAATCAACCAGCTGGGACTGGAAACTTAATAATGGCTAATCTCTTGTTGCAGCATTTTCTTCAGGGAAAAGGATTCATAGCCATGACCTGGACCTAAATTTAGTATGGGGGCTTCCCCTGTGGGAGCAGGAGGGTGCAGAGCTACACAGACTGGGGAAGTTTTGGGTTTTTTTAGAGAGGGCTGGAGAGAGGAAAGGCAGAGGGAGAGTTGAAGAGGTTGAGGTGAACATCAGTATGAAATATCAGTGAGACAGGTTTCCAGAGCTGAAGCTGCCATGTGAAAATGTACAGCACTTGGATTTTGAAGGTACCTCTTCTGTTAAATGAAGTAGGTACTCAGGCTCCTGCATGGCAGATCTGTGTCCTTGACTGGCCATACAACAAGGGATGAGAATGATTTATATGTATATTTTTACATATATATATATATACACACAAAAAAATATCAAATATATATAAAAATACAGTATGCACTATTGAGAGTGCACTGCATTGGGTCCCTGTCTGTCAAATATGTGAGTCAGACATCAAAGCACTTGGATGGGGAGGATTTTTGCTTGAGTCCTATTTTACAGCCTGTATGATTATGTCCTTAGAGAACACTGTCATCTTGTTGACAGCCCTTGGTGAAATGCAGACTAGAAGTGTGCAAGAGCAAAATGTTACCAGATTAAAGCCTCCAATTATGCCCAGCTAAAGCAGAGACTTTTATCCTATTTGATCAGAAACTTTTCTGCAAACTCCTTTGCAAAACAGTCCCCAAAATACAGAAATGACCCCACTTGTTTTGTGCCTCTGTGGCTGAGCTGCTGTTGAGGGGACATGAGGTGGCTGGAAACTATTTTGCTGCTGTGTAGTAACACCTCAGGTCAGTATGTGGAGACAACTTACTGCCATGAAGTGGGCCTGAGCCTTAGCTCAGAGAGCTGGTGGGAGCAGGTCTGGGGTTGCTATGTTACTGCAACAAGACCTGTTCTTATCCCCTAAACTGGGTTTAGTCTAGCACTAAGTAGGCCTAACTTTATAGCACCCAGACAGCTCCTATGCAGAGCACTGAGTGTCACTGACTGGAAAATGAAGCTGAGAAGTAAAATCCCAGCCTTTCAAGAAGCTTTCCAGATACTAAATATGGGGCTAGAGAGGGTTAATAATATGTGCAACCTGGCTTTCCCCGTGGTGCCCTGGTAAAGCCTCACCATGGGGTGCAGGATGCTGCCCTTGGCTGGTGCTGGGATGGGGGTGTGGCAGAATACTGGTGGGTGATGGAGACCCCCACTGGCCCCTCTTGCCAGATGATGGTGAGGGCAGAGAAGGATGTGGGTGATGGTGGCAGCAGATGGACAGGGGATGGTGGGTGTGGGGAGCTCACCTCAAAGGCAGGAGGGGTGTACGACTAAAGCTGTTGGTACAGGAACTGAGAAAGGCCACTAGATCAGAAACCAAAGGAGCCAGATAGTAAAAAGCCCTGAGGAAGCAAACTGTAAGCAGGAAAAAGAAAAGAAAGAAGAAAAGAAAAGGGAAAAAAATAAAAAAAGAGAGAGAAACGAAAACACAGTGGAGTTGAAACAGGAGCGAGGTTGTACGGGAAAGGTTTCTACTGGTCAGGCTGGTTGTTAGTAGAGCTGGGGTCTAGCACAGTCTGCAGCAAATCACTATAAATGGCACAGACCTTTTCCTTGAATCTGCTTTATTTTCTGTTTAAGTAGCCCTCCCTTGGTGCTGGTTTTGGGAGGAGATAGCTTTGTCTGCTCACAAGGGTTTTCCCCACTGACCCCAAGCAGAGCATTTCCAAGGCAACTGTGGAACTGCCATGACTTTGTTTTTTTCACCTTGGTGAAGAACTGGAATTTTACCTTCTCCTTCTTGATGGATCTTCAGAGTTGATGCAAACAGTGCAGCAACAATCAGCACAACCTCATTCTCCCACCTTTCTGCTCCATCATGGAAATGCACAGACATGCTGTGCCCGTGTACCCAAGGTGTGCCTGCCTAGGGACACCTCCTGCACAGACCCCTCCCCGCCCCGGGGCAGAGACACCTGCACATTTCCCATTCTGCCAGGAGGCACCGTCTGCTTCTCCATTTTAAAGGAGTCTTTAGAGCTGTAGAATTAACTGCTCACAGCCAGAAGGGTGGGAGCAGGGAGGGCAGCTCCCCCCCACACCCAATCCAGGGATGCTGGGGTGGAGAACAGGACACACCCACAGGGAGGGGGGTGTCCCTGCAGGTGGCCCTGGGCTCGTGTGTCCCGCAGCCCCTGCCCTGCTCACCTGCCAGGCCTCCAGCTGCTGCGAGAGGTTCACCTTCTGCTGGATGGCATCCAGGAGTTGGCTGTTGAGGGACATCATGTCAATCTTGCATTTGGTCAGCTCCACCTCCACCGCGTTCTTCCTGCAGGGACAGAAATCCGGGCATGGCACCTCTTTCTTTCTGTCTAAACAAGCCCACAATTTATGTCTTTCACTGGCAAGTCCCCACATCCAAGGGTGTTCATCTGTGTCGTGTTCTGAACAATCTGTTAATCCGAAGAGTGGGACAGAACTTTTGACATCTTTACCTTAAAACCAGCAGATTTCTGATATGCACATTGTGAAGAATGCTGAAAGAAAATCAGATACACTGCTGTGTAAGATAATAGTGTGCCTGGATAATGTGCAAGATCTGGCAATAATACAGAGATCTAGAACAAGCTAGAATCTAGATTCAAATATTTTCTCTTTTTCTTCTGTTTACATGCATAGAAAACAAACAATACGTGCTAAAATTAAATTACTTGTGTCTTATTGCTTGATCAATAAATTGCAATATAAAACAAACATGAAAACACCTCTTAAAGAGTAGAATTCTGCTTTCACTGGGGACTTGAATGAAGGAAGGATTGAAGGAAGAAATGAAAGAAGAAAGCTTGTCACAGCATATACTTTTTAAGAACGACAAACTGTCAAAATTGTTTGAATTACATGTTAGGCTTTAAGGAAAGCTCCAAATGTCAGTGGAGTTGTCCAAGCCCTTGGGAACACCTCTGCTGCATTTTTTCCCAGACATCTGGTGGCCATTGAGCGTGTCATGCCATGGACAAGGTTACCCAAAGAGCCCCAGATGCTCAGTGGCTGAGGTGTTCCAGCTGCTCCTTGATCGTGGAAAGGAATTGTCCTTTAGGATGGAGCAATTTCCTAAGCTGCCCAAGCTGGGAAATGCTGCTCACCATGCTGGGAGCACACAGGTAAGCACAAAGCTTAAGTTTTCAATTAATTGCTGTGTGATAGGAGAGTGTAACATGACTTCCTGGGAACCATCTTTCCTTGCAAACATTTTAGAGATAAATAATTGCACTTTATTAACTGTAGCTCATTCCTTGTCTTGTAATAGCTCCCTTGTGCTCCCCTGCAGAAGAGCAATTTGGGAATTTGTGTTTATATTCCAGGTACTAGAATATACACACAAGTATTCCAGGTACTGGTTGCTTAACACTTCCTCTGAAAGAATCCTATTTTCCTACTGCTTCCCACGTTGCCAAACTCCAGCTTCAAGCAAAAATTTTCCACACCAGATGTCTGCCTTGGGCAGTGATTTTATTTCTGTTCAGAGTTCGGGATTTTTGGGGAGATGGGTTGAACAAAAGCAACTTAACCCTTGGGGTGTGAGGTGGGAAGAAAATCACGAGCCTCCCCAGGCAGCAACCAGCCCACTCAGTCTGGGAGGGATGTTTTCACTTCAGTGACAGGATGCTCTCACTTGTTGCCACTCTCTGCTCCTTAATCCCCCTTGCCTGTGCCCCATTCCCACGGCTCCTGCACTGCAGGACAGCCAGCCCCAAATATTGGTGCTTTTTCCAGCAGGGTCACAGCAAACTGGAGCAGCTGTGCCCTTCCACTCCGGGCTGTGGTTTGAGCACCTGAAGCAGCCTTTTGTGGTGACTCTTCCTCGCTGCTGGGGATGCTTCCAGGGGATTGATGGCAGCGGCAGTGTTGCCATAGCCACGGCAGAGCCAGCAACCCACGGAACGGCAGAACTACGCCCGGCACACAGCTGGGATGCTCCTGCTCCTTGCCAACAGATGGAGGTGTTACAGAGCACAGCGATGGCAATTTGGTAGCCAGCTAGCCCAGCAAGGACAGCACGGGCGATGGAGCCACTTATAAAAAGGGATGGTGCGGGCTGATTTAGGTCCTGCACCCTCAGAGCTGCAACCCTCTCCTGCTCCTCCTCTTGTCCAGGGCTTTTCCCCTGAGAAGCTGGATTGGTGTGTCCTGGCCCACTTGCTTGTTGAAGGGGTTATCAGATGAATCCTTTCTAGCAGAGCACAGAGGGGTAAAGGTGTCTCTCCCTCTCCTCAGCGCATTTTGGCAAGCCCAAGGACAGAGCTGGGGAAGGGAGATTTGAGGTATGGGGGAGCAAAACTGCACAGATCTGTAAGGAGGATGTGCAAAATAAAGAGCCAAACCAGTGGGAGAATTCTAAAAGGAGAACCAAAGAATTACAGGACTGGAGAGGCAAAAAGACCTTGAAACAAGAAAGCAGAGGGAGTGACCAGAGGAATGTCTTAGAGAAGAAGCCCGGGCAGGCTGTAATGGGGATGGTCAGGAAAGCAGGGTTGTGTGTCTGGAATAGCAAAGGAAGAAAAATGAGACAAATTGGGCAGACCTAGTGTTTCCATTTGGCTCCCTGAAATCCTCTCCTCCCTGCTGTTGCTCACACCAGCACTAGGGATGGCACAAACGTGGTTCACAGAACGCTCCTAAATGCCCCCAGTCCAGCCGTGGGGCAGCTTTGCCTTTAGTATCTCCTGCCCTGCTCCCAAGCTCCTGGCAGCATTTCCCAAGGCCAGCAAAGCCAAGTTGTCCCAGCTGCAGTGCAGGGCAGGAGAAAGCCCCTGCAGAGGATCTCCTGCCCTGGCAGTCCCCCGAGCCGGTGGCACTCACTTGGCGATGGCCTCGTCGCGGTCCCTGATGGCCTGCAGGAGCCGCTCGCCCGCCTCCCTGTCCTCGGCAGCGCCGCGCAGCCGGTCCCGCTCCTCCTTCAGCGTCGTCATCTCCACACTCAGCAGCGTCACCTGCGGGCACAGCGAGGCTGTGAAAGCCACGGCTGCTCGGGAAAATGCACCCAGGTGTAGGGTGGGAAAAGCCACATGGCGCAACCCGCACGTTGAGAGATAAAGCTGTGTCTGCTGAGTGGGGCTCTTAGTGCTGGTGCCACCCTGCATGAAATGTGCTGAGCTGCTCTGGGATGCTGACCTGGGCAAGATGTGTCACCAGGATGGCTTCAGCAACATGCAGAAACACCCACCCGTGACTTTGCTGACACTATGGCATCAGTGCTCAAATGCTGTCCCTCTCCAGGCAGTTTGTCTTGCAGTCTGCACACATCCTCCGAGTCTGCCTGTTATAATTCTGATCTTGCCAGGGTTAAATTATTGCTAACATAATTTACTAGCAAATACTATTTTTTGAAGGGACCATTACGTCTTCTGAAGTAATACAAAGCTGTAGACAAAGGATGTGAAAATTCTCTTTCATGCCATGGAAGGTGTTACTGGCACATCTTAAAATTTTAATTAGACTTTAAAATATGTCTGGAGTCTTTAATAGTCTGAGAAATGATCTATCGTTTTGGTCCTGTGCAGAGTGAGTTAATAGGGTGTGAAATAATGCAAGGATTGCATTAGCACAGCTTCATAATTCTTCATACACATTTAATTTCTTTGTCTAGGGCACACACATTCTCTGTTACACTACTCCACCACCTGGAAACCCTTCCAGCGTTTGACCCACCTCGTGCCTCTAAATGCAGCTCAGTAGTGCTTGAATCTTCAAAGAAATCTTTAAATAGAGGGCAGACAGTCAAAAAGGGCTCCTCACCCAGGGCGTGGGAGGATCTGCCGATAGTGAGATGGGCTGGGCCGGGGGGAGGAGGGTGTGAATGCACCCTCTGTGCAGAGACTCCCCACGGGACTGGGGGGCTGTGCTGGGGCTGCCAGGGAACCAGGGAGCAGTGCCAGGGAACCGGGGAGCTGTGTCCTCCCTCAGCCCTACTGGGGAGCACCTCAGAGCAATGGTGTGACAGAGAGCAGTGGTGATGGGGTGATGTAAAAGGTGCCCAGCACTTCTACAGAAATCCCTGGGGACAGAGGATCCAGAAGCCCAAAGCATGGTGTTTGGGATAGGTTTGGGATTTAATTGGTTGTGTCTGTGCTTCAGGTAAGAATGGGAGGAAACAAACATGCAGAAGGTGTGAAATAACTTCTCAGAATAGACAGAGAAGGGGATGTTTCCTGTCTCCACCTGCTCACCGTGCTCTTTAGCAAGAGCAATGAATGTGTGTGATGCCACAAGATCCTAAAAGCCATTTAGAAGCAGCTCCCTTTGATTGTGTCAATACCAGTGCCAGAACAGAGGGATGAGGAGGCAGCAGAGCACTACTTCCCCCGGGTGGACCAGATTTCCACATGCATCAATTTTCTGTAGCACTGAACAGAAGATGATGTTGCCTCTTAAATAGGTGGTGAGAGTAATTATCAACCTGCAGCAAGTGTGAGGCTGGATAACAGGCAAAAGCTGTGGGAGACATGTACTTGCTGTGGGAGGCTGGAGTTCCTCTCTGAGAGTAATGGCTGCTGCATTTGTAGCTATGGCCCATCTTTCTCCACATCACACAGAGGTGTGAGAAGAAAACAGAACTGCAGTCCTCTCTCTGCTTACTAAATATTCAGAGCTTTGGTAGCTGGGGACCCCTAAAAGCAGACCCAGGGTTCCAGACTTGCAATACAGAGCTGGTCTTCTGGTCCCTCCTGGCCAGAGAGTTTGGGGAGATCAGACAAGCCTAAGATGTGTGAATAAGTCTCTAAAGGTCTCTGTCAGCACTGCTGGTTGCAGAGGTCAAGCCCTTGTCTCCTCCATCTCAGGTGTGTATAAGGGCAAAGGAAGCTTGTGTGTGGTGCACAGGACTGCAGCAGCACAGCCTGGGCTTATGTCTCACTGGGGGCAGAAGGCTGGACCTTCAAAAGTGTCTCTTGTGGTGGCCACACTGCTGAGAGGAGCACTCCTGGGGGAAGGATGGGCTCCAGGGCTGCTCCCCTCCCCTCCCCAGCCCTGATCAGCTGCTGTGGAAGCAGGACATTCCCACCCTTGCACACGTGCAACCACCACTGCCAGGGTATTTGCTGTCAGTGCTGACTTTCTGAACAGGGGTGTGTTTTCCTATTTATTCTCCAAAGAGTGATACAGCACTGCTGGGAAGACCAGCCAAGAACATTAATCCCATTCCCTGCTCCAGTGCAGTTGCTGCTGCTTCTGCTGCAGCCTCCAGATCCCCTCCAGCATCTGGAGTCTTGTCCTGCAGAGACAAGGACTGCCAAGCACCTCTTTGGATGGCTGTGTCCATTTCCTGCCCTTGGCATTGGGCCTCAGACACAGATGATGCTGGCTGGGGGTGCAATGGGATTCTGTGCTTTGGGTGTGGAGCTGGTCTTGGGCTGGACCATGCCTTGCTGTTGAGGTTGCCTCAGCTGCTCCCTAAGGTGCTGCCTGGTGACAGCCTGGCCACAATTAGGATTCTCTGGGAGTGCTTTGCTGAGGGTTTTGTGATGCTGCTGTGGAAGAGATCAAGCCCTGCTCCATGCAAAGTAGAGCAGCACCTTTATATCCATGGAATAATGGTGCACATACCCCTCACAGGGGCTCAGTGCAGCAATTCAGGTCAGCCTGGGTACCTCTGGGTTTCCAATACCTCATATTAAGAAGCCTCGTACTTCTGCTGAGAAGAATTTAAGTAACAGACTGGCTAAAAAGCGGACTGGGAGAACAGCCTATAGGAAGTATGGCTGCTTGAGATGATGCCTCAGATGGGCCCCAGACAATTTATCAGAAATTTTCATCCTAAATGCTTAAATCCTCTCATTTGGTTTAACAAATCTCCCTCATCCAACCATTTTGGCCTAAATCCTCCTGGATTATTTATCATGTTGGTCTCTTTGATGGGAGGCATGTCTTGGAGGGTGAACGCTGCTGTTACAAGACCACATGTGACGTGTGGGAGTTGCTAACCTGGCTGTGCAGTCGCTGCAGCTCCTCCAAACTCTGCCTCAGTTTCCCCCGTTCTCCCTCCATTAATTCCCTCAGGGCTCGTGAATCCTCACTTGTTCTCCTGATCTGCTCCTCTAAGGTGTCGTCGTCGCTTCGCCGAGAGCTCTGAGATTGGGAGAGAAATCTCTTGCTCAGATTTCACTTTAAAAAAGGCAATTGTATTAGTTTGGTACCAGTTTGGGATGAGGGTGCTAAACAAGGAAGAAGAAAATGTGAATGTAACCTTGGTAGAGTTTTTTGTTTGCATATACCTCCACAACCAAGGGTGATCAACCAAGGGCAGTGCTTCCACACATGATGCAAAGAGCATGCAGAGCTTGAAATAAACTAAATTTACAGAAACCTACTGCCCATTTGGTAGCCCATGTGGCTACAGTCTCTGTTTGTGGACCTTTTACAGGACTCTCTGAATTTATTCAGCAAATGCAACTTCATCTCTATACTCAGCTATGGGTACTTAAATGAGGAGTGTGAATACTCCCCCACAGCCCCTGGCAGGGGCTGCACTGTTTTCCTCACCACAGCACCCCAAGTAAGCCCTAATGGCAATGCAACCAGCTTGTAGGGAATGGGACCAGGACTGATTTGAGCCACAACACAAAGTGAGGTGTTTTGTTGTAATTCTGCACTTCTGTGGATGCTGAGTGGTCCCTCCATGCCACTCCCTCTGCCCATCAGCATGGGGACCACAACCTACATACATCAGCTCGTGCCAGCAAAACCCTTAACCTGCCACAGATTGGAGTTTGGCAGCTCCTGCCAAGACATTTCTACCAATGACAATTCCAGGGACAGAACCTCCCGACACAGGGGTTAAGATGGTTTTGTTATACTATTGCTAATAAAGGAAGGTTAGGAAAATCCCAAAGGAAATAACCAAACTGTGATGTGTAAGGCAATCTGTAATATTTCCACGTTGAAACTCTAACCTACTGAAAATCTCAAAGTAAGCCTACTTTTATTAATTTTCCAGAACTACTCCCAGGCCAATGAAAGTTGTATGAGCTTGAAACGTTAGGTGGTCTGAGCACTTCAGGCTGAAACCCCACGTGCTTGGCTCTTGGCTGACCACTTGAGACACAAAGAGTGGGCTGTGCTCTGTGATTTCCCACCTCAGGGAAGAGGTTTCCTGGGAGAGCCTGGGGCCTCCAGCAGCACCTGCAGCAAGCTCTGGGCCAGGGGACGTGCACGAGGCAAGGCCTCTCTGTGCCACCAACTTACCGTGGAGTCTGCCCCGTCCAGCACGTTCTGAATCAGTCTCTTGAGCTCGCTGAGGGCTGCGCGCAGGCTCCCGGCTGGCACGTCTTTGGCTGAAGAGGTTTCGGAGGACTCGTCCATGGAGGAGTCGGTGGACACGGCCGAGTCGGCGCTGTCGTTGCCCCGCAGGTGGGAGCAGAGGTACCGCACTTGGCAGTACGCCTCCCAGAGCTGCAGCCTCAGCTGCAACAGAGAGCCTGCATTAGCCTGGGCTGCCAGGGCCACCAACATCCTCCTGCCACGGCCAAGCCCTCACAAATATTTGCCGTGCTGATTTGGAAATGGATGCAGAGGTTTACTTTCATATCATCAAAAGAATGTTGATGCCACACCCCAATCCCAATTTTCTGGCCTTTGATTGAGCTCCAAATCCAGATCAAATGCATTAAACTCTCTTCTGCTCTGGGACTGGTCACAGAGGCCTGTGGGCTTTCGTAGCAAGTGTAAATACCTGTTCTCGTTCTTGCTCCAGCTCCTCTGCCTCCATGCTCTGCTCTATCTCAGAGAGCAGGGATGTGCTGGTTGTGTTGAGGTTTTGGAGACTTTTCTCCTCACTGAGCTCCTCCACCTTGCCCTGCAGCTGTCGGTAGGACAGCCTCACCTCCTGAAGTTCCAGCTGGCTTTGGTGCAGCTTGGGAAGAAAATCAAGGAATCAGAAAAATATTAATGGAGGCAATATGGACTGTATTGATCTCTTGGTTTGTGAGGGAGCTGGGAGAGAGGAATGAGTGACACAAAACAGGGTTTCCAGCCAGGAGGAAAGTACTCTTGGCTGGTATTGCTGTTTATTGGAGCTTAACAATCTCCAAGTGTCATTAAACACTGTTTAGAATCCAGAATATCCAGAAAGATAAAAACAGCAGATTAATCAGCACTAAAATGAAGAACATTGTGAAGAAGTTGGGGCTCAGGTAAAGAAATTTGCTGAAAACAACACAGCAGGAAGTGCATCCAAAAATAAAGTGCTACCTACATTTAAAAATATATATATACAAATATACTTTTAGGAAAAAATATTCAGGGTTGTTTTGCAGAGCTGAGGATCCAGTGCTTGGTAAACCACAGAAGTGAAACAGAAAAACCTTGCTTGTCCTAAGCCCTGGAGGTGCCAAGCTTGTTTTCTGGGGACTGATATTTGGTGATGCATGGATGTGAACACCATGGAGATTGTTGGGAAACCACCTGAGCACTGGGATCTAAGAGGCCAGTGACTGCCCTCTGGAACAGCAGGATCTGGAGAAGCCCCTTTTGAAGTCAATTCTACTCTTAAAAAATTAAATAAAATGAACTGTAATCAGAGTCCTCTAATTCTTTTTGCATTTACCTCATTTCCCTAGTACCCTGCCCCACTTTGTTGCTCAGATCTCCCTCCTACACTGCTCTGTGGTGTCAAGATGCCTCGTTGATGTTCCTGTTACCTATCTTCATGGGAAACACCCAGGACCTAGCTTGATGCCATTCTTCCAGTTGTTCTGTCTCCCAGTTCATGGCAAATTTTACCCCAAATCATGACTTTTACTGCATCTCCCCATCCCCTCCCTGTCTCACTGCTGCCTCCTCACCTGCAGGTCCTTGTCATGGCTTTGTCTCTCCAGGATGAGGACTCGGTCCTGCAGCTCCTCCACGGTTCCCTGGAGCAGGTCGTTCTCCTCCATCATGGCACTGAGGCGATGCTCCAGCTCCCGCTTCCTGTCCGTCAGCATTTTGATCTGCAGGGCAAAGAGAGGCCCTGTCAGACTTTGCAGGGACCAGAGAGGAGAGACACCACATTCCCAGGAGAGAAATGAAACAGCAAAAAGCAGAAGGATGTACAAAGATGTTCTGTGCCTGTATGAGAGAAACTACCTCTATGTGTGGTTTAAAGCTTAGGAAAGCTCTGAAAGGAAACAACTCCTTCCCCAGGCTGCAGGACCAGCTCCAAAGGGGCTGGGTGTGTACTGGCAGGTCAGGGAGCAGGCAGGAATATATTCAAGGGTATGAAGTGGAGAACATCCCTGCCCACCCCTTGAACCTTAACATTTGAAAGACTGGGAAAAACTGGCTACTTTTCCTGGCTGGTCCTGATGGTGGCATTTTCCCCTGTATGGGTGCTGGAGTCCACAGGGTGAGCCAGCAGGATCCACAGTGAGCCTGTGGGATCCTGCTCCCTGCAGGGCTGTGCCACAGCACTGCCCATTGCTGTCCTTAATTGGTGTGTGTTCATCAGGTCCTCAGCAGGGATTTTTCTGTTTTTTCACTTGTGAAGACTCCTTTCTGTGCCATGATTATTTTTAGCCTCCCAGTGATCGGTTGCCTTTAAAATTGGTTCATTTCTTTTAATTGTCAAGGGCAGTGATTTCAGGCAAGGGACAGTTTGCCAAACAAACCCTCCGTGACTCAGTTAGCTGGGAACAGTGCAAGGGATGAATCAGCACTAGCCAAGGTCACTTCTTGTTTAGCCAAGAAGAAGGAGCTTTTTCCCACATTAGTACACACAGGATCTCTGGGTTTGGTATGCCAGATATCCACCAGTCCAGTATAACCCTAAATATTCCCTATGGTCTCCTTTCAGTTCATGAAGCATAGACAAATTCAGCAAATTCCCACTGTTTTCTTGGCCTCTTTGGATCTTGTGCCTTTGCTGCTTTCCAGGTTGCTGGAAAGATTTGGCTGCACAAAGGAATATCAGCCAAATATGTGGACTTGCTATTTCTGCAGAGTAAAGGCCACTGGAGGTATTGGAAAGCTGCTGTGAGGTGACCAATGGTTTCTGAGATGTCTCTGCCCACCACCATAATGCTTTGTGTGGGTTGGTGAAAGAAAAATAAGAGGTTTAATGGAGAGATTTCATATTTGGTAGGCAGACCAGTAATGAACATGCTGTAAATAACAATACAACATAAAAAACACCACTCTGCCATGAGCCCTGGACCATGGGAAAGGCACAAGGGGAAAGGGTTTGGAAAGCAAGAGACAGGGGAGGAGACAAGGTGTGGCATGCATGGTGACAGGCATGCTTGGGAACAGCAATGTACTTGCAGACAAAGCCTTTCCAAGCCTCCATACTTACTTCAAGGACTTGCTGCTCCACACCAAGGGGAGGGGAAGAGAAGGCGAGGGACCAGCAAGGAGCAGGTGGGAGCGGGAGAAAAGAAATCGAGAGATTTTAGCAAAAGCTTTTCCAGACAGCTTTTAAATAAAAGAAGTGGTTGGGTAGTAGAGGTGGCCATCTTCTACCCATCTAGCTCCTGCCTATGTGATCCCCAGTGACCCTGTCAGGGAAGGGAAAAGGAAGGAAGTGTCTCATTCCTGCAAATGTACCTGAGTTAAAACAGGCAGGGGCTCCTTGCTTTCCCAAGGGCATGGCTCAGAGACAAGACAGGATTGCTACTTTCTTTGCAAGCATGAGGAACAGATGGAAAAAACCCTTGCAGACTTTCCCACCATTGCTACCAGAGTTTAATCTGTACTGGGCAGCAGCCCTGCAGGAGCACAGCCATGGTTTAGCTCATCCATTCATTTTGCAGGAATGCTGTGGCGAGGCAGCATTGGAAGGTGCCCTGAGCCAGCCCAGCCAGAACACCATGGAGCAATCCTTGCTGGGGGAGTCCTCTGCCCCAGTGCTGCCATCCTTCAGTTGGCTCCACCAGCTGACTGTGTTTGTTCAGCTCAGAGAGGGTCTTACACAGGCTCCAACAGCCCTGGCTGCTTTCTGCAGGAGGGAGGCAGGTGACTCACCTCGGCCTGGAGGCTCTCCAGCCTCACGATGTGCTGGCTGCTGGAGGAATGCTTCTCCCGAAAGTCCTCCCGGAGGGTGTGGACCTGCAGGGAGAGCTGCCGCTCCACCTCCGATGCCTGCAAGGAGACACCAGCTGGAGTTACCCCACGGATCCAAAGCAGCCCTCTCCTCCTGCCCAGGGAGACCTGCCCAGATACACCTTCTGCACAAGCCCAGTTTCAGCAGAAACTCTGAATTCTGCATAGTTCGGGTGAGTGAAAATCTCATCCTGGACAGACACTGGAGAGAGCTGCCATTTAAACCATGTTGAGTTTTCCCTTGGGGCAGCCAAAGGGACACAGCCCATAATTTTCTTTCACTGTAAAAAAACATGGTGACTTTTGTGTCCTAAAGGAAATTCACTTTGCCTTAAAAATTGTGGCCTAGCTGGGGTTGAGGACAAGACCAGGAAACACTCCTATTAACACTCAGAGAGATTTACACTCTCTTAACCTCTGAACATCTTTGGCACTGCTCTAATATAACAAGTACTCTTTGCCTTTTTCCCAGCTCCTGTCAAGGCCAGATGGAGGAACATCCCCTGCACATGACTGTCGGTGCAGGATTCCTGGGCTTGTCCCTCTTTCCCATTTTGAAGTAGGGATGCCCCACTTATGCAGGGTGGTCTGAGGACAGCAGAACGGTCACTCCTACTTGCAGGATCCAGGCTTGAGGCAGCCCTTACAAATGACATCTTAGACATGTTAAGTACTCTCCAGACAGCTTTATGGCTGATTTTTACATGTGAACACACTTGTTGGGCTTGTAGGACAACATAAGGTTTTTATGGCAAAACCCTAAAGAGACAGCAAAATGGATAGTTTTCTTTTTAATTAGCTTCCATCAGGTTCCATTACACTTGGGTACAGAGTTCCAGCTATGCCACATAGGCTGGGATTGAGTTGATTCCCCTCAAGAGGTGGCATTGCTCTCCTGCTTGGGATGTGTCCAGTGGCAAAAGTGCTTTAGACAGGGAGGTGAGATGGGAGGGAGCTGTGGGTGGGCTGGGGAATGCATCTTTAGGTCTGGCAAATGCGGGTCTGGATTTTCTCCAGGTGCTCTGACAGTGCCCAAGGCAGAGCTTCACCAAAGGGTGCAATGACTCTGCTCTAGCAGCTTGTGACTGGAGCAATGAGCACACAGACCCAGCCCAAGCTGCCCACAAAGGCAACACTGCTCCCTTTTAAAAAGGGTCCCTCATTTTGCAGTCTGCAGCAAAATATTCCAAACCAGAAGCATGAAGTAAAAGGCTGTTCCAGCTCCATCATGTGGAGGAAACTGGTGGCCTCAGCACTGTTTGCTTGGAGGGGCAGCAGCAGGCAGAAGTGTGGCTACCAAATCAGGTTCTGATCGCTGGCTTCTGAAAAGAGAAATGGGTTCTGATAAAAAGAAATAATCTTGTCTACCAATTGGTTTTTAGTTCCCTTCTTTATACTGTTTTTTCACTCTTCTTTAAAGCCCCATATCAGAACCCTTTGCATACTGCCTAATTTATTTAATAAAGCTTCCTTGTTTGGGCAGGATACACAGAATATAATGACAGCTCAGCACTATAGGAAGGGGTTGGTTATTTTTCTTCCCTTAAGCAACTATAGGTTGCAAAGCATCCTGAGTAGCTATTAATTGGTGACACTAAAGAAGATGGATTGATTGTGCTTTTTTTGAATGATTCACTTGCTTTTGTAATGACTGCTGAAACATCTTCATGCTGAAACACTCTGCAGGAGCTATCAAGGATGAAAAAGCACCAGATGAAAAGCACTGAAGGATTTTGCAAGATGCTGACCACACTCCCAAGGAGCTCAAGTGGCACCAGAGGAGATGACACACCAGTATTTGATAGTTCACTGTGTAACATAATTTATATGCTTGAATTCTATATACAGAGAGTATAAATGTACGACAGAGCAGTAAGGAAACAAGGCAGTATTAATGGCATTGTAAAAATCCCTGGTAGGAGAATATATAGCTGCTCTTGCTCGTTCTGCTTGCTCCCCACGCCCAGACAGGAGCAGGTGAAGGGATGAGCTGCAAGGATGATTCAGATTGTGGAAAGTCTGTTACACGAAAGGAGTCTAAAAAAAGGATGGCTTGTTTTATCTCATGCAGTGAATGCTGAGAGAGGACTCCCTATAAATACATCACGGATGAGCACACAGAAGGGAGAAGCGCTATTTAAGCAGAAGTACAATTTTGGCAGAAAGGAAAGATGTGAATAAACCGGATAAGAGTATATTAAGGCTGGCAATAGGAAGATTTCTACATTTCCAAGGACCTGCTGTAGGATTCCTCTTCCTGCACCATTACAATGGTAGTAGAAATGGTGGCAGAAAAATTAACTTTTAAATGGAGCTGGGTCACTTTATCATGCAGCTTCTTTCAGATGGCTGCCTGTGACAGAAGGGAAATGAATTGACCTCAAAGGTCCCCTCCAGTACCAGGCTGCTTGGAGAACTATAAGACTTGTATTCACCAGTATTAAATCATCATCTGGAATTTATCTATGTGCTGCCCAACTCACAGTCTCACACATCTTATTCCCACAATTATAAGTTACTGTTAGTACTTAGAGCCCTAAAGGCAGACAGGATGTCACAGTGTCACCTCAGTGAACACCACTTGCATCCTACCTCATGCAGTAAAGTACAAATAACACTTGCTTTAAGTTGCAGAAACCACTCTCTGACCAGCTGTTTAGCAGAAGTAAACAGAAATGACTGTATTTCATGTTTCCCTTCACAGGCTAAGCAAGAACAGTCTTCATCCAGTTTTTCTAGACATGAACAAATTCTTCTGAGCTGAGCTCTGGTCATGGAATCTTCCTTTTCATGCTACATTTGTTTCAGAGGTTATTAATCCTGCTGCCAAACTACCCTTTCTAATTGATTGTAAAAGAGAGATTTTAACATCAGCTTGCATTAATTTATGAAAGACACCTTGACAGTCTCCAGTATTTCTCAGGCTTTATGGTGTATGTTCAGACAGTGCCTGCTTCAGTTCTCAGCACTGCTCTTGGTGTGCACCTGTACATGTGTGTTTTAAACCATGAGCTCACCACCAATTACTTCTCACATGCTCTTTTTACTTAGTGGCATCCTTGAAGGTGTAACCTTCCATCTCCATTTCCTCTTTAAAGCTCAATATGGCTTTTGTTGAATGGAAGTGAGTTTGTTCTGCCTCAGCCAGCCTCTAGGGCTTTCTCTTCTCCATCAGTGTTTCCTAAACATTAAAAACAAAATCTTTTGTGGTTCTGTCAATCATTTAGCAATACACTGATTTTTCTAGAGACAAGTAATATTCTTTTCAGAAAGGCAGACATATATTGTCCAACATCACAGCTTTGCTCTGTAGTTAAACATGAATTAATTTCCTCAGTATGGGCAAATTGGCCAATGCAGCCGCCAGGCAAGATTTGAAACATATCTGCAAAAGCATAGACATCAATTCACAATTAGATATATCCAATCAACTGTGAGATTTGTTTTCTGGTCTTCAGGCAAGGTTTCAATGAGATTTGGGCAGTGCAAGAAGAGCAGGAGGACATTTCGGCTTCTGCTCTAATTAAGGGCTTTTCATCACTGCAAACTTGATTAAGTTTTTCTCTTGTGATTAATTCCCAAGTACTAAAATACACAAATATCTACATGTGTAGATCTTTGGCAGAAAGAGATGCTTGCCAGTTACAAGAATTCCGTGAGGTTTAACATCTGGAATATATGAGCAATAAATACATAAAACAAATATAAATAAATTGGATCACTGATGTTCCTGTGAAAGGGGGATCTTTGAGAAGTTAGGGATGGACTGTGACAAATTAATGGTCTGTAGGTTAGTCTTAGTCAAAGAAAACCTTGTCCTGGGATAAGATTTGATAAATAAAGCTAACTGATTACAAAATATCTAGCTATAAGTCATGTCACAAAGAAAAGGAGAATTGAAAAAGTTTAATAGACTGTAGCTGGGTGGATAAACCAATGTTTCCATATGATTTACTTCTACAAACAAGATGATTAAGATTTAACAAAGGATATTGAAGATTTTCTTGCCTAAAATAGCTAAGAAAGAGAAGTCCTAATTAGTGCTAAATTTGTAACACTCAGGAGAGCGTGTTACCCCTTTTATTAATTTGCTAATAGCTGAGTTCAAGGAACTTCCAGTTCCCACTGTGGTCCCATTAACACTTCAAACCACTAATTGCTGCCTCCCCTGGCTGCAGGTTCCTGGATTCCCAGCTCTTCTCTGGAAGGAAAATATATTTGGCTACTAAAACATAACCAGAGCAGGAAACAACAACAACAAATGGCTTTAGATTAATAATTTACAAAAAAATTGTTAACCTGGCTTCTGAGGGAAGTCCCAGAGGATTGGGATTGCTGCCTTGCCACTGCAGCCAGCATCCTGGTGCTGGAAGAAGCCTGATGTCCTGGGATACTTGATCCATGCCAATAAATTGGCTGTTTCCCAGCCCTTGGCACATTGGCACCATAAGCCACCATCAATATTTTGCACACCTGGAAGTTGCTCAGTTTGGGAATCTTTGAGAGATTTTTAGCAAAGCTTTGAATGCAGGTCAACTTCAAATTGATATTTGAAACATTAGCCTGTCCAGGAAAGTTCTTACATAATAGAGGTGCTTGCATTTATCTCTTGAGGCCTTCAGCTTGTATTTGCTGATTTATGTGCCCAGAGGGATTCCCTGTGGAATTCTCTGTGGAGAAGAGCAGTGGCACCCTGGTGGGCTGGCCAGATGCCCACCCAGCTGCTCTCACCCCCCCTTCTCAACAATGGGGGAGAAAATAAGATTTAAAAGCTTGTGGGTTGAGACAAAGACAGGGAGATTACACACTATTAGGGAAATTTGAAGTTAAACCAGTGATCAGTAAAGTAAAAGGCAAAGCTCAGACCAGCCACTGCCTGGGACTGGATTAGCAATGGGGATTTTTGGGTGAGGAAGAGGATGGGACTGTACTGAGGGTGGATATTGCCCACCCTGGTGGGGTTGTGATAGTGCTGTTTCCTTTGTGGTGTGAGGAGGTTTTTTTGGGGCTGATGTCACCAGTGGAGCTGTGAAGGATGT